AAACATGCTGGAGTTAAACAAATGTTAAACTCAGAACTCAAGGGGCACAGGAGAAAATCCTGCGATCGTTTGGAGATGCAATTAGGGCGAAACGGGACAGAACACCATATTTGGTGCTGCGTAACACATATGTAGAGGGAACGAGGAAAGTAGGAAAACAGAGAAGCGGACGAATAGACGAAGCAAAGAAAGATCTGAAAGAGAAAAAGACTGCAATTGCCTGAAGCAACGAGACCAATTCAAGACGTGAGACAGCGGAAGGCGTTTGCTCGGTGCGATCGTCATCGGTCGAGCAGACGAAACGGTCTTCTTGGTTCTTTCGGTAAAGTCACGTAGAAGGGAAGTGATAAAATAATAAAAATAAAACATAATAAAATAATTCTCACGACGTTTCGGCCACAACACAAGCAGCCGTCCTCAGGTGTAGAACAGGTCTGTGACTTTACCGAAAGAACCAAGAAGATGAATCCCTGCAGTCACGAAAGCTTAAATCGAAATTCAGACGAAACGGGTCGGAGGAAGAAGGGCCTTTTTGGGCTTCGTGCAATAGGAACGTTAAATACTTTTTTTTTCTCCACGTCTTGTGTGTTTTTATTTTGGTTGATGCATTCAGTGGAAGGCAGCGCGACACTCCAGCGAGCGTAACGAAAGCGAGCCGTGCGTTGACGTGTGCATCCCAGCTGACGCGAGGATGTGGGGGCGAACGTTGGGGGCAAACGGTGCCGTTCAACTCCTAACAAGGATGCCCCGCTCGCAGCCGCTTCGCAAAAAATTCCGACCGCAAAATCATACCCAAAAATCATTGCGCAAAATCTTACACCAAAGTCCTACCTCCAAATCTTACCCCAAAATCCTACCCAAAAATCATTGCGCAAAATCCTACACCAAAGTCCTACCCCCAAATCTTACCACAAAGTCCTACCCAAAAATCATTGCGCAAAATCCTACACCAAAGTCCTACCGCCAAATCTTACCACAAAATCCTACCCAAAAATCATTGTGCAAAATCCTACACCAAAGTCCTACCCCCAAATCTTACCACAAAATCCTACCCAAAAATCATTGCGCAAAATCCTACCGCCAAATCTTACCACAAAATCCTACCCAAAAACTATTGCGCAAAATCCTACACCAAAGTCCTACCCCCAAATCTTACCCCAAAATCCTACCCAAAAATCATTGCGCAAAATCCTACACCAAAGTCCTACCCCCAAATCTTACCCCAAAATCCTACCCAAAAATCATTGCGCAAAATCCTACCGCCAAATCTTACCACAAAATCCTACCCAAAAATCATTGTGCAAAATCCTACACCAAAGTCCTACCGCCAAATCTTACCACAAAATCCTACTCAAAAATCATTGCGCAAAATCCTACACCAAAGTCCTACCGCCAAATCTTACCACAAAATCCTACCCAAAAATCATTGTGCAAAATCCCACACCAAAGTCCTACCCCCAAATCCTACCCCAAAATTCTGCTGCAATTCTACCACAATCCTAATGCAAAATCACATCCCAAAATCCTACCGCACTGTGCCTGGAAAAACGGCTACACTGACCTATCCTAGGGCAGAGCAAACGTGATGGAGACAATGAGTCTGGGCCCATCAGCACGACCATTATAGAGACAGACAGCGCCAACGAGCTTTGGTGCTTGTTTTTCTTGGACACCCTGTTATTGTGGAGTAAAAATTAGATTCAGTCATGCGATAATAAACTAATGACATCAACGCAAGACAATACTTGTTTTCTTTCCCCAAACGGAGTCCCATTTCAACCTGATATATTTAACAATTGTTCAACCAAACTAATTTTAGAAATGAACACACCAGTTTAAGGCCAAGGCCAGGAATTGGCTAAAAAGGTAGATTGCCTTGAAATTAGCTTTCAGAGGAAACTCTTTTACCAAGTTCATAAAAATGTTGGAGTTGGAGAGCAACCTTCTTAATGGTAGAGCAATTGAACTAAGGTCAACAATGCTTGCATTAGTCCCTAATGCCAAACATTCTGTGAAGACATTTCATTGCAGAGGAAATATTTTTCACATATGAGCCGAAAAACATTTGCTGAATGTTGGAAACTATTCAAGTGTGTCGAATGCTATAACATAGCCCTGGGAAAAAATATATGGAGAAATGATCTTCATAATTCCAAATTTTTCATTGATTTAATCAAGGGGAAAATCAGTTTCAAATCGTTTTGGCATGTTATGTGTATGAAACCAACAGGATTAGGACATGTTTAAAAAAAAATAGTTATAAAACTACAATTTTCATACCAGAGTCCAACTTTCTGAGAAAGTCATGGCAAAAATGTGATACTTTTTTGTTGTCAAAGGATTAAACCATTGGTATAGATTCAGTAACACTAATGAGTTCCTTTATAAGTAGCACGAGGTTCACTTGACTGCCTCCCTTTGCTTTTTAGACACAACAACGCTTTGAAGTGCATCTAAAAAAACACTCGGGGCATAAAAAAAGAAACCACAATCGGCGTCAAGCTGGGAGTTAATCTGCAGGGACAAGATTTCGGGGCTTTTTATTTTTTAATTTGTTTTGGCAAGAGTGCAAAAGTGTTGATAAACACAGGAAGTGAGGGCCGGATCCAATCCCCCGTTTACGTTTTTTTCCCTTCCTGCACACCACTGATCTCAACCCCATCAGCACCCAGCTCCACGCGGTGTCGAAATTGACTTCCCCACTTCCTACATGTCGTGATAATTCCCCACGCATCGGTGAGCAACGGCATCCAAACAACAACGGGCGAGCGAGTGTGAGATTAGAGGGAGGATTATTTCGCTAATCTCGCCCACGGCTAACATTAGTGGCGGGCGATATCAGAAACGGCCCTGGGGCCCCCCCCCCCCCCCCGCCCCCCCCCCCCCCCCGCCCCCCCCGCCCCCCCCGCCCCTTTTCTTTTACCAACCCGGGCTGCCCGGCGGGGTTTGAAGTATGGTCACGTAACCACCCCCCCCAAAACCAACATGGCATGGAGAAGCCTTCATCTAGCAGTCGATTGACATGGGGCTGTGATAATTTATTTTTCTCACGTGCATTTGGCATATGATAATTATCATAATCTAATTATCATCATATTTATCAGAATATAATTAGTTGCCAGTTTTAATCAAGATTAAGTGTTCACGTATTTTAATTGGCTACGAAAGGCAAACATTTCACAACATTGTGCACTTTCCAGGACAGATTCAAAGGTCTATTCTATCGACGAAGGCGAGTATATTTCATGGACGCCGTATCATGATACTGTCAATATTCCAACCGCAATGCTAATTCGCATAGTAAATTGCCTGGAGACTCTGACATTAAACAGCAGTATACAAAGCAGAAGTTGTAATGGATTTAATGAGACATGTCACTCTCCCAAGACAGTCCTACGTAAAAACAGTTAGACCAGACGTCATTAAAGTTTCAATAAAGTGAAAATGGCTATACATTTTTTACGAGTTACGTTTTTTCGTAAATAATTCCTATTAAATTTCTGAAATATATCTCTGGGGTTTTCAGTCTCTTCAGTGGTGGCTTGTGCGTGGGATATTGCGTTGCTGTTCCATTTATCCAAGTTTGAATTGTTAAAAACAATTTTTATGTGTTTACATTCATGTTGGTGTTTTGCTTTGAATGTTCCCGTGGGATGATATACTTTTATTATTTTTCTATCTACGTGGCTTTACCGAAAGACCCATATAATATGTATTCCTGCAGTCACGAAAGCTTTAAGTCAAAATTCTCATTATTATGTGATGTTTGTTTGTGTAGTCAGTCACTGTGCAGCTTCAGGTACCAAGGCAGGAGAACAGGTGCTGCACAGATTTTGTGTAACGACCTTTACAAAGTAAAAAAAAAACTCGGAACGCCCGTCAATAACACCGTGGCCTTAAAAGGAAAGATATAAAGTAGGTGATATTTCGGGCAATGGCCCTTCATCATAGCACATACACAGACAGGCCAGAGAGCCGGAGTGGTTAATCAGGGATGGAGACGACATTATACTCCATGAGGCCTGATAAGAAGTAATTACATTTTTTTTCCCAATGAGCAGTTTTAAATTGCCATTTGAATAGTTACTTAGAAGTAGATATTGAGCACCAGACAAATAAAAAAGGTATTGCTACACAAACTCGGTTGCATTTAAAGTAACATGATATAATGTTGCTGGGAATTTGAGTCAACCAATTTTGAAATACCGGTCACGGGACAGTGCAGGTGTCAAGAGCGCCGCTGGCTCACCTAGCCTTGACCTGTCACCCTCAGAATGATTCACTGTCGTGGTCGATGACATTCAGTTGCAAAGTGGTCAAGTGTGCAGGGGGTGCAACTGGACTGGGGCGCACAGGGCGAAGCGGTCCGGGCGACAGCTTAAGAAGAGGTGGGAAACCAGGAAGCATTAATACGTACACCGCAGTTAGTGGATCGACAGATCGCATGCGGTGCAGCAAAGTGTGGGTAAGCAAATTTAAGCCAACACGTTCCATTCATTGGCTGCCACATTCAGATAACCCCCTCCACCCTCCTCCCCCCTTAACTTGTATTTAAGGGCTTGTCTCTTGGAATTTTGCCTCACTTGATACAGTAAATCTAGCTGTGACGGTCCCACCTGATGACGAAGACTTGTGTTGCCTCCGAAACGTCGTGATTTATAATTGTATTTCTATTATTATTTCTATTATTTCATTTTTATTATTTATTTTTACCTACGTGACTTTACCGAAAAAACCTAAGAGTATAAGCAAATTTGTCCGGCGAGTTTGAAAGGGGTTGTCTAACGGAGCTCTCCAATGCCCCCCATAGCGGAGGCTCCGTCCGCCGGCAGTGGCGTGAGCAAGCAATTGCAGGGGCTGCGCCTTCACCTCTGTACCGAGGCCCATGCCGACCACGATCAAACTACTCCGCGGGACGACAGGCATGGCGCGGGGGTTTTTTTGGGGGGAGGAATTTCCCATCGTGGCAAAAAAGGCCACAGGGACGGGATGAAACGGACCTCCGCAGCCTTGCGATGCTCCTCAATGTTTTCCAGGATGCGTACGTCGACCCCAAGGCAGCGGAGGTAGCGTCCCAGTCCCTGCAGCATGCTGTCACACACCACCGCAAAGTTCCTCACCGACATGGGCTCCCGGGAACACGACTCCGGCGGACGGGCGGGATTAGCCGCCGGCAGTGTCGCCGGCTGAGACATACGCGCGCACACACACACCACGCACGCAAAACAAAAAATTACCATGGGGGTCGTGTGACGCTTATAAAAAAAACGCGCGAGCTGTTTTTTTTAATCAGTGAACGCCTAATTGAATTATTGACGGATGGATTGACCGATTTACTTTATAACCTAATTACTTACTTCCTTCCTTCCTCACTCAAAACATTTAAGCAGCGTGTAGAAGTGAAATGCGTTGGCTTGTTTGTGGCTCTAGTGATGGCACATTACACGCCATTACGGACAGGATACACAATGTGACGCACTGCAAATACACACGGCTACGGCACAGTAAATAATACTCGGGAATAAATGACTCGAAACAAGCAAATGCACACAGAGGTATTTCCACAAAGACACGTGAAATATAGAGTGGAGCAATGGTTAAACGTGTTTAACTATAAACCAAGGTGACCAAAAGTTAAATTCCAGGCTAACAGTAGTGGCAAGTAATAAGTTCACCAGTCTTGGGCACCCATTTCCTCAACCTGCACTGACCAGCATGGCGGCGTATGGTCAAGAAACCCCCATGTCTGGATGATGTGGGAAGGCCTAAACCCTGCAATGTACTGATAAAGAGCTGTACATTATGCAAAATACATCGAAGGTTTCTCCGTCTGTGTGTACAACACTGTGCGTGATTACCACATCCGTGCCGATCTTCTTCCACAGTCGCTCATCATCTGGTGCTGGGTCGCTATGTCGAGGCTTCTGTACTTTCTTTCCCACCATGCACTTCTCCAGGTTGACGGACAGCTTGGCGGCCTTGGCTTTCTGGAGGAGAACGTCGTAAACTTCCAGCAGACAATAAGCGTCCGAAGCTGTTGGTAGTATCACACGCACAAAACGCGGTTCAGTTTCCGCGAACAAAACCGACATCGATGAACGAAGCAGAAACGGGAAACCGATGCACGTTACGTTGCCTTTAGGTTACTTTCATACAACATTTGTACTGGAATCTGCTGTTGAATGTCCTATGTTTTGGAGAAAAATAAGTCTTCTGGAATTGTTTCAGCCATTGTTGTACAAGTGGGAGCCCAGTTTAACAACACCCTAATACCATGGGAATGCGGTGTTACAAATTGGAGGCAGGCACAGGTGGTGTGTGGCTGTGCGATCTGGAAGTCTGCCACACTTGCCAAGTCTAAATTTAAGCCAGTTTGAACCACGAGCTCAGGTCATAAATGAGGGCAATTGTCCCAGCAAGCATTCAAAAAGGGCATAAAGAGGTAATCTGTTTAATCACGGATAATTCCATGAGTAGACAAAGCACCGACGTCAAAAATCCTCCGCCATGACGCAACACAAATCAGCACTTTCTCGGTAGTGCCGAAGAAAGCCAACTATCACTCAAACAGGAGCACGGGTGCAGAAAAACGTGTAACATCGTGGCAATGTCATAAGTCCAGTTCAAGATGAGATTTCTCACGACGCCAGAGTAAATAAGTTATGTCATTGGGGCGTTCGTACGTTACGGCAAGTCTTACGATTGCTCAAGACCCGTCGCTTTTCAATGGCAACAGCAAATATTAAAAAACATAATTAAGTGTATTACAATTTAAAGCTTTCGTGACTGCAGGGATTCATCTTCTTGGTTCTTTCGGAAATAATAAAATAATAAAAATAAAACATAGTAAAATAATTCTCACGACGCTTCGGCCACAACGCAAGCAGCCCTCCTCAGGTGAAGAACAGGTCTGTCGGAAAGACAGTGTCTGAATGGCTGTCTTTCCGACAGACCTGTTCTTTACCTGAGGACGGCTGCTTGCGTTGTGGCCGAAACGTTGTGAGAATTATTTTATTATGTTAATATTTATTATTTTATTATTTCCCTTCTACGTGACTTTACCGAAAGAACCAAGAAGATAAGTGTATTACCTCAATATAAAAAATATATATATTACAAAAATATATAATTAAGGACACGGACGTCGACGACGTTCAGCCGAACAAGCGTAAAAACGATCGGCAAGCACCGGCGTAGAGGATCTGCGCCGTGGTGAGTGGCCGCCGCTCCCACTCGGAGAGCTGCTGCCGTTTGTCGAGCGCCTTGCCGAGCGTCTGCAGCACCAGGAGGCTGAGGCCGCGCCCCTCCGTCGTACGGGCGGCGGTCGCCCCCCGTGACACCTCTGCGCCGCTGCCACCGGCCACAGGTTGAGCGCTCAGCAGCCGTTCGACCTGCACAGTCGCCGTGATGAGACCACAATACTCTTAGTTCTTTCGGTAAAGTCACGTAGGTAAAAAATGAAATTGAAAATTAATGAAAATAACGTCGAGCACCTCGTGCCCTCTTTTAGCCCCGCTCCCCCCCCCCTCCCGATACGTTCCATTCATTGGCTACCACATTCTGATAAGCCCCCCCCCCTCTCCTCCCCCTTAACTTGTATTTAAGAGCTTGCATCTGGAATCCCTGCCTCTTTTGATGCAGCAAATCTGGCTGCGACGGCCCCACCTGATGACGGAGACTTGTGTTGCCTCCGAAACGTCGTGATTTTTATTTTAATTTTATTTGTATAAATTTTTAATTTCATTTTTTACCTACGTGACTTTACCGAAAGAACTAAGAGTATGAATCCTTGCAGTCACGAAAGCTTCAAATCTAGAATGAGACCACCACCCCGCCCACGCACACCCCCCCACCCCCCGGTTCAAAATATAAATGTGTTTTATGAACAAACGTAACCCTATCTCCAAACATATAGCTCTCCCCTCTAGCCCTAACACTCACCCAAACTCTAACCCCAAGCATAGCAGTAATCCAAACTCTAACCTGGGCTCTAAAGCCAACCATAATCATAACACTAAACCTAACTCTACCCCAAGCTATAACCCTAACTCTAACCCATACATAACCACAAATGTATTCCTAATCCTAACTCTCTACCAAATCAAAATTCTAACCCTAATCCTAACTTTAACTCTAATCCTAACTCTATGCATAACCAATACCGTAACTTTGAACTCTACCCAAACTCTAACTCCAAAATACTAACCCCAATCATAACACTTTCAAAATACTGCGGTGGCGTATGCTGGAGTTCTTGTCCTCCCATAAGCATGCGTTTTTTCCGGGTATTTAGTTTTCTCCCACACACAAAAACACTCCTCAAAATGTGATTGGTCCAAACATACTAAGGCAGAAGCATCCCGAATAAAATCTTCAGACCGATTGAAGATTTTCTTGGTAAATAACATTGGGGAAGGCACCTCTCCAGGGCAATAAGAATCGAGTCTGTTGGAAGCAGTACAGCAAGCAGGTTGTTGACATATCTGTGCAGAATTTTAATACTCCCTTTGTTTTCTTCCCACAATAACAATTCTAACTAATTAACCAATCGTCCCGGGTTCGACCCACTTGAATAAGTCTCAAGACTCAGGGCATCCTCCTTGAGTAAAGAATATGAATGTACACGTAGATAAATCTAACAGATATATTATAAGCACAGACGAAGAACAATAGTGGAAGCAGAGATTTATAAAATAAAAACAAATCCATGATGGAATTGAATTAGGCATTCAGTAGTACTTTCTGTGAAAGATAAAATCATGGAAAGACAATTACATATACTTAGGTTTTTTCGGTAAAGTCACGTAGGTAAAAAATAAAATTAAACGTTAATAAAAGTAATAATGGAAATAAAGTAAAATAATAAATCACTTGATGCAGTAATTTTAGCTGTGACGGTCCCACCTGATGACGGAGACTTGTGTTGCCTCCGAAACGTCGTGATTTATTATTTTATTTTATTTCCATTATTACTTTTGTTAACTTTTAATTTTATTTTTACCTACGTGACTTTACCGAAAAAACCTAAGAGTATGGTTCCTTGCAGTCACGAAAGCTTAAAATCTACAATTACATATACAAGGGAAAATCTAGATATTTTATAAAGATCTTCATTAAATAAGAGGAAACTTAAAGAGGAAGAGCAACTGAAATCACGCAATTTCAGTACATAGGCGGAAGCATGAACATTATACAGATGAATGCATATACATTACAGACGTGCATTTTAAACATTGACAGCGACGTTGCCTCTCCCGTATCTTTGTTTAAAGAAAGAAGTAACGTGGAAGCCAAACGCACGCCGTGCCAAACCCCCGGCAGAACACACGGGGCTATCTCCTTGGGATATGCGAAATGCTCGTGAAATAATAAAACGTCGAGAAACTCTATACGGGTTTTGTCCGAGCCAAGTTCACTTCGGGCCAAAACCACAAACGCAAGTCTGCAGTAGCTAAGTTTGTGTTTATCAGCCAATCGTGTTTAAAAGTTGACGTGCAAAAACCAAAGTGTTTTTTGTTTTTGGCTATTCAACATACCATATGAACCTAAACCTACGTCTTAAATTACTTTTATCACAAAGACAATTATTTATATACACAAATATTTTTGACTTGCTAAAAGTTATCAAATATTTTCTATGTAATGTAATTTACTTATATACAGGCATTTAGAGATGTAAAGCCAGTATGGTTGTTAAATAATTACCATTGTCATCGTCATCATTGTCAAAATAATCTCATAAAGCACCTTGTCAATTTCTGCGAAGAATGTAAAGATATATTCAAGGCCATCAACGAATAGAAAAATGTGCCACGGGAAAAAATAAGTAACCAAATAGAGAATAACCATCACTGTTATTAACCATGAATTCATATGGAATGACGACATCAGCTTTGTGCGCAGCAGCGAGACCAATTGTGGTATCGCGGGACCGTCTGGGATGACGATGGCGTGGGGGAGGCCTTCATGCAGTCATGGATTCATCAAGGCGCACAAAGATTAACTATTCAACTCTTAATTTGTAGAAAAAAAAACTAATTGCTAGGAAGTATTAGAAAGCAAATAAATGTAATGCTGTATTATTGTTATTTAATTATTTCCCTTCTACGTGACTTTACCGAAAGAACCAAAAGATGAATCCCTGCAGTCACGAAAGCTTTAAATCGAAAAATAAATGTTGATTTATAAAATGCCCAAATGCAATCGTATCTCAAAACGCTTTACAATTAGGGGCGCATGCATTAACGAGACTTTAAATTTTAAGATAAGCTTGGAATTATTTTGAAAGGAGAGGTCAAGCAGATGGCTGTACGGTAATGGTGCAATGAAGATTAATCCGAGGAGGGAAAGTCAGTAATACGATGGGGAAATACATGTTTAAGCGTGCTCTTGAGCGAGAATAAACGGTCCCAGGAGTGCAAAGGGACAAGGGAAAGACATTTCCAAAAAAAGAAAGTGGCAGCAAAAGAGAAGTGACGACTTCCAAGTGAACATAAAGTGACTGAGGGTTTTGACAGATGACCTTAGCTGCTGAAGCAGACAGCAGGTGAAGAGAATAGGGAGATGTCACGGGATATTAATTGGGGGTAAATAGATTGACGGTTTTGAGATGGCGAAGGTGATCTTTCAGTTTACTTGGAATTATATGTTGAACTTCTTTCGCACCATATGTAGTCAACCGTGCAAATCGGAGGTGTGAATTGTATTAATAGGCAGTGGAGGGATCTGCGGGCAGGAGAAACTTTAAAAGATATCAGTACTTTCAGACCAGACGCGTATAAACGTGTTTAGGTGGGGAAAGATGGCCGCTGTTCTGTTTTGTCCGTTTCCCTTACCTCACCCTTCTCCTCTTGGGTAAAGCAGCGGAACACTGAACGATGTTGCTGCAAAACTATAAACTATATTTATTTGTTCCTGACCCCCATCCACAACTTTTATTTTATTGCTATATTTAATTAATAAAAAAATCCCCTGTTGCTGGCCTGGTTCCGGTGCTGCCTCCTGGCCCTTGCCTGGCTCCGATTCCACGTTCCAGAGACTCTCTCAGGGATTACCGCGGCTCCATCAACGGCATGGGAATTTTAACTTAAAACTTTCATGAGTGCAGGAATTCATATTCTTTGGTTCGTTCGGTAAAGTCACGTAGATAGAAAATAAATTTAAAAAAAGTGAATAAAAATAAATGAAAATTTTAATGTAAAGAATTAACAAAAAACGCTAATGTAGACTGTAGCCTGCTTATTAAGTTTGGTGAGTGTACTGGCAGTCTATAATGTAGACTGTAGCAATGGTTATTAACTTCGGTGAGCGTACTGGCAGTCTATAATGTAGACTGTAGCCTGATTCTTAACCTCAGTGAGCGTACTGGCAGTCTATAATGTAGCTTTAAGCTTAAAAAGCAGGTTACAGTCTACATTATAGACTGCCAGTACACTCACTCCGATGAAGAACCAGGCTACAGTCTACATAAGTGGTGTTTTGTTTTTTATTTTTTATTCACTTTATTTTTTATTTAACTTTTTCTATCTACATGAATTTACCGAAAGAACCTAAAAGACGTGTATTGTTTGTTCTTATTTTAAATGCAGATTTTTTTTTTAAGCGTCTACTGTCCCTGAAGATGCAGATTTTTATCAAATCATACCCAATATTTTTGTCCAATTGAAGACCTTCCTGAGGTCTCGATTGATTAATTGTTAAGAGGGTGCTGCTTCTTTAATTTTAATTTGCTGTTAATGGGTGAGAGTTTATGCGTTAGGGATCAGGTGAGGGGATACATGTCACGGTTTATGTCACGGCAATAATAAATTGCAAGCCATTCCACAATCTGGGCTCTTTGGAGATAGCACAGTGCAACAGCGAATACAGAAGTCTGAGACACGAATGAATGTGTTTACCTGCTTTTGCAGCACGGCAATGTCTAGAACCCTGGAGGACTGCTGAAGTGCTGGCTTCAACATAGGGTATGATGTTAAGAGATACTGGATGTCTCCACCCACATCGTAACCTGTAAATACAAAGCAGTGATATGCGCCACATTGTATGGGCTGTGATGTATACCACACATGTATACGCCGTGAGGTGTACATGCGAATGCATGTATATATATTGACTGATGTGTATCCCATGTGTGTAAATGCATAGGCTGTAATGGGTTCCTTGCATAATTACATTTGCAAATGTTGTGATGTATGTATTGATGTTGAACTTCTTTCACACAGTACGTACCCAACCGCGCTGATCGGCGGTGCCCATGTGCACCACGTGTGCATATGAAGAGGCTATAGACAGGACCACTCAAAAACAGACAGCCTCTTGAACAACCTACTTTCTGTCCTGCCATTAGCCAACCGCCTTGCAGCGGTGCAGATGTCACTGGGCTATGTGCTTGTACCACATGATGTGCACACAGCCAACAACAATCGAATAGGTAGGTATAGAAAAAAGTAGCAGCACATCTGTTTACATTAAAAAAATACATAAACTAAATTCACGTAATATTTGAATAAATGTAGTACCCAGTTTCAGGACATCGCCACTTGAGAAGAGCCTTCTCATCAGGCTGAGCAGCCTGCCCTCCTCCACGACACTATTCTTGGCTTCACAGCGCCCCGAACAGCTCGCCTGCAGCTGTGCGGTTTCGTCTGAGAAAATATTAAAAACAACAAAATCCGCCGCTGCCCCAACCCCCCACCACCTCGTTTTATAATTTCCAGCAATGCAGACGACGGTCACGGTGTATTTGGCTGCTCGTTTGAATTAAGAAAAAGAATGTGAGCTTGGTGAGCCAGGGCACGTCAACGTTCGGGATGGTGGCCCGCGGTCGAGAATAACGATGGTGGAGGGTGCGCAATCAAGCGATCAACTACCGTGGAGATGGAGCGATTAAATCTGCTTGTGTGCAGGTAATAGTAGGTGGATTGCTACATCGCAGGGCCGTGAGAAACCGCAACACAGCCACGGGAAGCCTTCAGTTCATTGAATATGGCTGCTGCTGACAACGACAATAATGACGACAATCTATCTCTAGGGCTTCGGTGTCTCCGCAATTCGTGCGGTGGCTGCACCGTGAGCGCGCGGCTCCACGTTCGTTGCCCGAGGGAGGCACCGCTCCCCTGGCTGGCGGCCTGCTCTCCTCCTCCTCCACCGAGAGCCGCGGCAGATCAAGCAGCAGCACGCGGTCCCTGCGGGCCACCTGCACGAGCGCGACGCGAGGCTGCGACAGCACCCCGAACGACGGGCGCCACTCCATGTCCACGCCCAGCGTGCAGCCCGGCTGACGACGGTGGGCAGGGATTGGGGAAGGATGATGCGCGAGGTAAGGAGGACGTTTTCACAAGGCCGCTAAGGTGCAGCCCCGCAATGTCTTGGTCACGTCACTGCCGGAGGAAGGGCTTCCACTGGAGTGAGCACGACAGAGCCTCTCTAATGGGTATTTGGCCTACTGTTCTAGCCCGAATAGACGTCAAAAAACTTAAATATTTGTTGAAGTATAGTAATTCCCTTCATTGACCCAGGAAAGCCTCACTGGGGACTCTTTTTTAAATCCTTTATATTAAGTTCACTTGCTTGCGCGCTTACGACCGTGCAAATCTTTCGGTCGTTTTTTAACCCACTTCCCGTGATCCAATCGAGCTGATATTTTGCACACAGACTCGTTGTGCGTGACAATTTATTTTCCACTTTTTAGGAATTTTTTTTTCATATTTAATTTAAAATACCAATGTGATAAAAATGAAACTCTTACTCAAGAAAAACATAAATGAATAATAAAATAAAACCGATGCCACGCATATAAAGGATTTATAGTGAAAAACTTTGTTTTTACGGGTTAATTTTTCATGATTGTCCTGCATTTGGATGTTTGGCCAATTCAATTAACATGTGGGAGGAAACCGGAGTACCGGGAGAAACTCTACATATAAAATGGAAAAACACTCAAAGCTTTGTGCAAATAGATTCAATGCATGTAAATTTAAATAAAACGTATCACCATTATATCAACATCCCTTATTTATCCCATAACTTGGCACACTTAATGTATGAGTAGTTGTAGTTTCCAAGCTGTCACAGTCAATTAAACGATGGTCAGAGCGCAGCACCTGTAGCATTGCAGGCAAATGCATCTCGAGGTCGGTGAGGTTGTCGATGAAGATCACTTGATCGAGGGGCACAGGCAGCTGGTAGCAGTCTTCCCTCGAGGAGTATGCCATTGCACTCTCTTCCTCTCCACTGCTGGCAAAGGAACGCAAGATAAAATCGGCAATTTGCCTTATATACGTTCTTCGAAAACGTACTGCCGTTTTCCCCCAATTGTATTCCAATCGTTCCATAAATCAAGTCACCAGATGAAATTTACATTTGGGTCTTTGCAGATAGCAGCGCATTCCCGTGTTAAAGAATGTCACGTGTAAGAAGATACCATGTAACTACTTCTGACCTTTCATATCCACACAACAAGGGGTACACTTACCAACACCGCCTGCTATGAGGATGGAATCCTGACAACTGGAATTAAGCCAAATTGACATGAGATGAAGGAATTTCCTCGAGGACGCCTAGAGGCAGAAGCGCATCACCCCATGTAGGAGAGCGACCCTGGCAAGGATGTCATGCAACGACTTTTAAAGCAATTTCAACAGGCCTCTGGAGTCACACTCAGGCCACACCTTGCAACGCCCAAACAAAGACTGTCAATCGAGCTGAAATGTACACAAGTCTTCAAGTTGGAATCAGCCAGATTTAAGTGAAAAACCCCATTTGAAACGAATGATCATTTTTATTTCTTTCAACTCGCTAAACTTGAGAGCCCGGTTAAATCACAGGCGGCTGAAATATGGCTTCACACCCAGCATCTCAGTTGGTGCCGACTCAGTCCTCTCATCCTCAAGCCACCCAGCCACCTCGTTTGTATCTTATACGCAAGTAGCTCTCTTTAAAAGAAGCCAGTGACCGCTCATCGAAACGATTAACTGGGCATCCCCCTTTGCAGTTTCCACATTTGCATGCCGATGGGCGGTATGCAGTGCAATTCACAGCTGGTCACTGCAACTTAGAAAACATCATAGACTTCGGATATAGTGCCAAATTTGCAAGAAAGCGAGGCTTTTATGTCAAACTGATAGCTTGGCAGTGCAGTGTTATATATATATATATACACAACACAAAAAACACACTCCGATTTCAATGTGCACGGAGAAGGCAAATGTTGATGACTGGCAAATTCTTCAATATTCAAATGGTAAGAAACCCAACCTAAAACTAACAGTCAGTCACAGGATCCATTATTTAATAATATACTATAATAGCCTTTAATAACATCCTTACAAAAAAATGTGACACTGGCACGCCGAAGGGTGTGCAGTACAATTCACAGCTGCCCGCCGAGCCTTTAGAAAGCAGCAACAAGGATTCCTGAAAAATTATCAAATTTGCGGGAAAGCAATGCTCGTGGCAAAAATTACAGGACGGCAGCGTAGCTTTGGCAAAATATATATTTTGCACCGCTATTTTTATTTAGTTGGAAAAGGCAAAATGTAAAAAAATTCGGTAGCGAGCTGAGAAAATTGAGAAATCGGCAAAATTATTAAATTTTCAAGGAACCTTCCCCCGGTGATTCGTTCATTGCCTCGTCAGTGGCACGGCTCCGGGCTTCTGCAACGGGGAAAAACAATCCGGCACACTCCCCGAGCTGCCACACGTGGCGGCGAGACGTGGGCCTCGGCGCGGCTTGGTCGCGTAGTGTGAAAATGGGTACGAGAGAGGCACGCGCACCCATCCTCCTGCCGCTGATTGGACAGTATCCAGAGCACGGCGCTGGGCAGCCGGTCGTGCGGCATCTTGAGGCGACGTGCCCAGCGGGCTGCTGCTGCCACGTCCCTGTAGCTGCACAGCATCATCACCAGCTGCTCCTGCAGCCACGGGTCGTCCCCGACCGTCACCTGCACCAGTCGGGCAACGGTGGAGCGAGTGGCGAGAATGCGGCGCTGGGTCAAAGCCTTGGTGGCAAACCGGTGACCGAACGAGCTTATACCGTACGCGAGCAGGAAAAACTAAGTTTTGTTTTGCTACGAAAAGTTTTTCGCGATTGTGCTCTATAGCTCTCTTGATGTGTTTTCGGGTCGTACCGCGAGTTGCTTGGCGCTATTGTCCGACGTTTCGCTCCACGTGCTGCCAGTTTATTTAGGAACGTGGAGTAAAATGTGGGACATCATGCCGAACAACATAATGTACAACCCAAAGGCACGGTTGAATGTTTAGTTATTTGTACAGCCCTTTTGTCAACTCACTGCTGGATGAGGGCCTCCCCACACTGTACAGGGTTGTGGAGGTCGTTTAGCCATACTTCAGCATACTGGTTATTATGGGTTCGTGAAGATGGGGACTACATATGTGAGAGCATAGATGTACAGTTCAACAATTGGATTTTTCTGCACTGCCCTCTGCTGCCCACAATATAACCGTGCAGCTTATAGCAACCTGCTGTGCAGTGGCCACCTATCTTTGCACTAGGTCTAGCAGTTGATAGATCATGGCTGATGATTTTGATGAAGTATTGCTTGTTATCAGTCTGTTCTTGATACAAATATGAACCCCCTCAAATGCAAACAAGGCCGTGTTTATGACAGAAAGGATACACGGAGTCGGCAAACTATCTGACGCTGGCATTTAGTATTTTCCAAGTCAAAATTGGCTGTGTTATTATGTCTTTACCATGTGTGAAATGGTGAAGCAAGCAATATCAAGTTAAGTATTTCCACCAGCCCTGGGCCAGACAAGACACTGGCTGTCTGTTACTCATTGTCTGTGCACCCATGGAAAGGGACAGTAAATGTGCACAGCATATTTCCTTTTGAAGGATGACTAAATAGTTCGCCCACGGCTTTACCTGCGACAATTTGAAGCTACTTTAAGCAATGCTGGAATTAAACACTCGATGGTTTATTTTTGCTCTTCGATAACGTTGCCACAATGTCCTCCTGGCTTTCCCAGGATCGTCCTCTTTTTGAGTTAAGCCTTCCTGGCAAATCTGTCTTCGCGACACATTAAAAGTCCCGGTCTTGTCAGTTCCATAATAATACATCACTCAAGACAACGATTCTTGTATTGTGAAATACTATTATTCCCATGGTATATGCCGATGTAGTTTTTCTTGCAAAGCACGTATTTATGTCCGCTGAACTTCTTTCGCAACGCACGTAACCAACCGCGCTAAATCGGAGAGCAGTGGAGGCGACCTGCATGGGCAACGTATTTTGTTTACAAGTGGCCAATGAAATAAAATTCTCAGAAAAGTTCCAGAAAACACATCCTCGTGGGCGAAACACAGGAAACCAAGCTGCTTCAGCCGTCATTGTAAAATTGCCAGGGAAAGGCCCAAAAAATGCATTGACGTCAGGCAAATATGATACTCGCGCAGTCGTCAGGTCCGCTATAGAGAGAAACTCAGTGGGATGCTGCAAAATGCCCCCTGCAGCCAGGCAAGCAGCCAGACATTGTATGCAGCAAATTGCATGCTGTCAAAAAATAGCTCACAGCAAGGTCCATTTCAACGAAGTGTGGTCAAAGTACCGCTGCAAACTCAAGCAAAGTGTTTGGTTGTTGTGTTTCTAATGAGCTTGGATTGTCATTATAGCGATGTGTGGATGTACAGCCTTTTTGTCAATGCACTGCTGGACAAAGGCCGTCCCCATTCCGTGCGGGTTGCTGCAAGTGAGGTGGGGGGGGGTTATTTGAACCATATTTTGCCATGCTGGTCAATGCTGGTTGGGAGCAATGACTTGGGTGCATAGTACAGTACATTCGTAGATTTTTATGCACTGGCCACAATGTAGTCCTGCAGTAACCTATAACACCTTTTAACACATGGGCGATTCGGTTACAGGCAGATGCGAGTTAAAGGATAGAAATATGAAGTAATGGTATGATCTCACGTGCAAGGGTTTAGAAAATGTGGTCTTCTGCAGTTTTCAAAGTAAGATTGTAAAATTAAAATTAGAGATACTCCTCTTGTGCAGGGCGCTTGCACTCAAAACGCAACATGCACCCTAAACATACACTTCACAGACTATCGATATCTGGCACCCTGAACGTTCACAACCGTCCTGCTGTGCTGCAAACTCTGAACGTTGATAAATAAACTTAATAATGTAACAGGCTCATTGCAAAAAAAAACGATTTCTAAAAAAAAAAACAGGGAAACTAAATACAGCCACATTTCTCCGCTGTGCATTGAATTGAGAAGGAAAAATAGAACCACATTCCTTGAGAATAATAGAAGGCACAGGTCCTTTCACCTGACTCCATATCACTTCAAAGGCTGGGCGTGCAACCAAACAGGGTTACGAGGGCAGAGCACACTGTAATTACACGGGATATGCACAAATCCAGTTTTCATTAAACACGCAGCCTAACTCCATAAGCGAACAAACAGTGTTTTGGCACGCCAGGGCCCGCAAAACACAAAACAAAATCCTCTCGGTTTATCGACGGTGATGTCGAGGACAAAATCCTCTGGCACAGCGCTTTACAACCGTGACGATTCGGGGCAACATTCCCGCCAAACTGCCCTAACAAAATGCGCATTTGTTTAGCGAGCACGGACTGTGATGTCGGGGGATTATGGATGAGATTCTGGTGTTTTTTTTCTTTCAAACCAACGGTGCAATATGTGATGTTGGCACCAATGAGATCGTAGTGGGTTTTGCGGGGTTTTTTTTTGCGAAAACGGAGTGAAAGGAAAGCGATGGGCTGCAGATGTATTTTTAGTGTAAAAAAGACATGGCGAGCGTGAGGTTTTCCATCGATGTGCATAAGATAAAACCGGAATGGAACCGTGGAAAGAATGTAAAATTGTGACCCGTCTTGATTGCGCATGAGAAAATGTAAGTTCATTCATGGTGAAGTACAAATTTACCACTTGAAAAACGGCTCTGAAACATTTACTAGGAGAGCTTCACTTTTGCATTTAGACTGTACAACACATTTCACCAATCTATTATCCGTTTCACTTATCATCTGAATGTAAATTATTGCCCTGCAGCTATCTGTACACTCTCGACTATGTAGACAATCATTACCTCAAGTGATATGCAAACCAAGGATCATTGTTACCTCGTTACATTTCAATACAACTCCCCTTATCCGTGGTGATGTTTCTATTAACTATGGATATCCGCATGGCTGACAAAGAACATGGAACACAAGCTCAAAAGTGCAGCAAAGAAGCATGGGTATATGCGTGCTTTTATTTACATTGAGCCAAAGAAATTGGAGACATTCTGACTGTTAAGAAAAGTAAGTGGGCTTGGGCAGGATACGTCACTATGAGTAGACAGGGAAAACGGCCGTTGGTTAAGATGGAGTGGGAGCAAAGAAGTGAACGCTCATGAAAGGACATCCATTGAGGAGATGGAACGATTAAATCAGGTCACGCACGGATGCTTAGTGGATTATTCTATCTCAGTAACAGCAGAGGCGTAACAGTTCATCAGGGAGGTCTTCATCCAGCAGGAGATTCATAATTTCCGATAAATGTCAGTGCGATGGTCAGTAGATAAACACGGAAAATTTGATAATATTGACGCCACTCATCCACAAAAAATGCACATAATAAGAATAATGGATAGACAATAATTAATAGATGGACAATGGGAATTTCTGCAGATCAACTGGGGGCTCAGATTATATAAATAACAAGCAGTGTGTCTCTATCGACTGTGCCAAAGTTCAAAGTTTGGAAATAAAAACCTTGTCTGCGCTGCTTGCTTCGGAAATAACGGCCAACTTTTTAAAATAACGTCACGTGGTTTTAACATTTACGTTAAGCCGACGGCGCTCTTACATCATAACACCAGCAGGTATTGTCGGCGGAGATGAGATTAAACTGTTGTTTCCTCATAGTCTACCTGTACCAATACAGCATACGTTAACCAACAAGGCTCTTTAGTCACGGTCAAACATCTATTTGTCATAATAATTTATATTTTACACATCTATGTTCGTCTACACATGGTGCATTCAGTAAACGGTAACAAAGTACGTTACGGGAGTAGAAACAGATGGACTCGTGCATGTTTTCAAGGGCCCCTTATTTATTTTGTTAGCTGTGGAAAGCTGTGGTGTCCGCTGACGTGTAATGTTTACGAAAGAGAAAGGTGTTTGGTGCAAAGCTTTGCTCACGCGAATGGAATATTTCAAGACCACGTCAGGAGTTAAAACGGCAGATCAGGGGTCACTGGATAGCTGAGAACGATGACGATTGAAAAGATTTCAATGTGAGCCTCAAGGAACCTTAATGCTGGCACAAGTCATATCACCGCCTAAAAGTTTATCCCGTGCTAAGATAATTGCTGGCCTGTTTGTTAAATTTATTTTTTTACTTATTGGCACTTGAAGTTGAAGAAGCAAACTGCGGATTATGGATGACTGAATCTTTATTTTTTAAGCGTCGCAGATTCTAAGAGTGAACGTTTTGGGGGATTTGTTAAGGTCCCATTATGACCATTGCTGCTCTCTGCAACTCTTTCATCAGCATTAATGAAGAAATCCATCAAACCATACCATATGCCTTTCATCTGGCTTTGAACAGCCCAGAACTGAATAGGCCACTGTTATGATTTTATGAGATAATTATCATCGTCGGCGTTCATGAAGAAAGCTCATTAAATTATATATTAAGACTGCTGATGTCTCGTAATGAACCGAAGGGGGTGCGCGCATTCGATACGTCGCAATAACCTGGCCGGTTGAAAAGTGGATGCGTGTTTCAGTCATTACCTTCAGGTGATGAAACTTTCTTCCTCTAATCAATGAGGAGCCAAGACATTTCTCAAAATGTGAGGCACATTTTACCCAACAATATTTTACAAAACGTATCACAAGGAACTCCCCCCCTCCCCCCCCCGAAGCTCAAATTGCAGTTGTTAAGACAAAACATGACAAAGTTTAAATTCTAAATCCTTAGTGTGGCCCCAGACAGGACTACGATTATAGACCAAACGTTTTGGAAAAGCGGTGAAAGATGGTGCAACGCCAAATCCTTACAGCCGTGCCAAGACCCGTCAGATTCTTGGCCAGAATGTCCCCAGTACTTGTTTCATGCACTCAGGGTAAGACCCAATGTATTATTCTACCAGATGCTGATTAATCCAGAGTTGTTTTGAGAACAAAAAAAATCCAGCATGACACGACTCAGAATGGTGTACATCACAGCAGCTACAGCAATGCCAATTAAATCGGCAGTCGTGCGGGTGATGCACAAAGTCTGCTGTTCAAATCTAAAAGCGAATATTTTAATTATGAGCAGCCAGTTGTAATTACAGCCCTGCTATTTTACTTCAGGGCAGACATCACATCACAAACATAAGCTTTTTAAATCAGAGTACAAACCGGAGTTGGGTTATAGTAGCAGGTTTACGTCTCATTGATTAGAAACGCATGGAGGAACCATGAAAATATTCGAGTAAGACGAGGCTTTTCAAAGTACCGTATGATGGGGTTGTCAGAGACTGACTTGAGAGGTCATTAAGACTCAAGAAGATTATATTCTAAAACAAGATAAGGATGGGGCTGATGTCGTTGCTGCTGCTGCTCCTGACGATGATGATATTTTACTTAAAAGACTTGGGCACTTTTCTTTTTAAGGCAAAGTAAATTGTGTTTGGTTCCTCAGTCAACGCCCCTTTTGATCCTGGATTGCAAGCCCCCGGGAGAGATGAGTAAAGGATAAATGCTGTCTCCTAAGATTCCAGGAGTGTCCTCACATGTGGAATTTGGTGGCGGCGCTCTATTTATCAATTACCGTTTACAAATTCCCACTGCAACAGAGCCCGTTTTTTGCCTTTGATTCATTGGCATTCATCTTCAGAGGTAGTGAGCGAGGCGATCACCGGGGAGCAGATACGCATGACCATCAATCATGCAAAGGACAATTTTTCAATTCTAGAATACAGATATATCGCTGGATTGCAATAGGCAGGATTGCAGTCTTTATGGAACACAGCTGTGGAAGTAGATCCAAAAACGACCACAATAAACGCCTTTACCCATGAAGTAGAATGGTTTAAAGAGCAGCTTCACTAACTTGCGTTACCAGAAACAAGGAGTGTGACGATTCCCTTCCCCCCCGTGATTCCACGAAGTGCCAGAATTCAGGGTTGCGATGGCATTAAAGAATCGACTCTTGTTTTCACGCTGTGGTGAATGGAGTGGTCTCTGCTGACTGGAAGTGGGTCACGTGAATCATGACGTATAATAAAAAAAACGATGCTTACGGAGGCAATTCAATGCATTTATCGTGATCCTATGCATCGATATTTATCAATTAATCACTGCACAATTACACGCCCATGAAGAACAAATTTACATGCAGTGAATGCCCCTTAAGTACGTTTTGTGAATATTCACATTCAAGGAAGTGGCACCTGCATATTGGTTATGTCAACGGAGGTAATCCGTTCGCGCACGTATAGATTGCGTTTGGTATGAAGCCAAACTGTAATTATCACGCTGGGTAGTCGGTGAAATGGCAAACCGAATATCCGCCTGCAAAACATCATCAGATATTTTACAACGTGCATGCCGTTTAAGGCGGCGGAGTGTCACCACACAATTTTCACAAGTTTCAATTGACACCGATGGTGCACTCCAATCGTGGTCCGAAGCGCGAGGCTGCACACTGGCACTTGCATCAATTCAACGAGAAAACTGGTAAATCGCGCGGACACACAATCTCGGCCATTTCTCCAATGGGCCTTTGAAATCCGGCACCACAAAAAAACCCTCAGGGACACAAAATGGCGCACTTCTTTTTTTTCCTTCCTTTCTGCCGCCACAGCAGACAAAAGCGCGCCCCCCAAAAAAAAGCAATGCAAAAGAATTCCTTCTTAACAGCCTCCGCCTTTTTTTTCACGGTTTACATTCAGGTGCCGCGTAACGCACACTCATCCACGGACATACTATCAAATTTGCAGGGACTTTAAACTATGGTATTTTAGCTCCAGAAAACATTAGCGATGTAATTGCCGCGTGCGTGCGCGAGGTGCGGTCGGACAGCGCAGAAAGTGGGGCCTTAAAACGCATGCACACTGTTTAATACGGTTTCTTGTAGCAATAACGCACTCCAGTTTTTCGTGCAGATTAAATGAAGTTTCAGCTTGGTATTTTATTTTTCGCATGTTCATCCCAACCGTATATGATAAGCAATCGAACTTCTTATTTGCGTCGATGCAGGAGGTGCTATTGTCAGATTCTACGATCAGCACTTACCCATGAATTGCCCTCATATCTGTGTGAAGAATAAAGCATAAACGTGGATAAAATGCAGATTTACCACCAATTCCCAGTTATTCCTCTCATCCATGCTCTGGTGCGCATAAGAGGATGAATTTAGTGCCTATGACAACCACTTCCAGATGACATTCATCTGCAGACACAAACTACACCGGCATCATCACCGTTCGCCAGAGCAGGCAGGCTGGCCAACCACCACCAAAACGACCACCACGATGACCACTTCTTCACTTGAGCACTGCCTCACTGTGGTATAGGCTTGAGTGCCATGTAGACCCTTCGGAGCTCTTAATGGATAGGGACACTCATGCCAGTCAGGTACTCGGCGAGAGGCGAGACAAAATGTGCTCCCTTCACAAACCAGCACTGACTAACCAGTGTGGCAAAGCAAAACACTCGCCATGACCGACCCACCTAAACCACAGCCCAACGCCAACAGCTCCGGATCCAGCAGTCATGGCATCTGCCAGGTAGGAGAAGGACCAGGGGGGGGGTGCTATGGATCACTGGCAGGACACGTTGCAAGAAGAGGGGCGATGGGTGACGGTCACGAACAGGGATGGAGCGGCAGCGCATGGAATGCAATGCATACAAAAAGGATGTCCAGGGAGAAGGCGCCGTGGAAAGATCAGCTCATGTGTAAAGGCGAGGTGGATTATTATATGACAGGATCATGAGAGATAGCAAATCCTTGGGGAGGCCTTCATCCAGCAGTCGATCATGCCTGATGACGATGATGGCCGCGGCCACTATGACGACTCCCAGCACCACCATAACGATTATCACTACCACCACTGCAACAACAAATACCATCACCCTAACTACTACAACCGCCAACACTAAATGGCAGCTAGAAAACATTATTAAAAGATGCCACAGACATCGTTCATGACGATTTTTGTGCCCCAAAAGTACCGTAAACTGACCCACGCCTTTGTGAGGATTAAGGATGATTTTGCCACGGAGACTTTTCTCAGCCACAGTTAAGCACGGATAACCGGATAAAACTAATCCCACTTCTGCAATGACTTGTTTTATCTGTGGGGGAAGCACGGATAGTGAGTAATACAATCTCCGTGGATCGATTCAGTGGCATGGTTAACATTAATAGTGGATAACAGGAAGACAGATGTTAAAATCTTATCTCTTTGACGAAATGTTATGACTCGCACACAAGGGGTGGCAAATATACTGGTACACGTGCCTTTTGTATTTAAGCACTTTCCACATTGATGTAATCTAAGTATTTGCGTTTGAGGACTGTTAAGAGGAAGTTATACAGCACTCGTAGCTCTCCATGCGTAAATGAAAATAATGGTCATCATTGACCACCCTGAAAGACAACACACCAGTAGCGCTGCCACTTACTATTATTGGGAGGGTGCTAACTATAATCGTCTAATGTTCATTTAGCATGCACCGCATAAAACTCAATGCACATAAGCATCTTGATAAAAAAAGTGAGTCTTACCAAAATGTGATCATTCCAATTTTCATCGTCCATTGCTTTCTGCAGATAAACAAAACGTACCATGGTATAACAAAACAAAAATTGCAACCTTGTAGTTCTAAATATGGTAGAAACGATTGCAATGTCAAGACACAAAGTAAACAAGACGGGTGGATCGAGCATCAAGTAACACCCAATCTTAAATTTGCGATAGATGCATCGCATGTGTAAGAATCAATGCATTTACATTTGTACACGTTGCAATTGGGTTCACGTCATCACTGTAACCACCAAAGGTCAACCGTGAAGAACCAAAAATGTTATTCCTGAATTGAATAATAGTGCCAACTCATCAAGTGGCCAGGGAGGTGAATAGTACCTCCCCAAGTAAATGGAAACGTGGTTACTGCAAAACGTTTACCTCTCCATACTTTTGGTAAAAGAGAAACTTCATTGCTCCCAGTGCTCGATATTGCTTCACATTGGGGCAAAGTTCTGCGAAAAGAAATTCCATAACAATTTGTTATTTTACATCACTTGAAATCCCATTCATTTAACGAGTCAAACGCAAGTGATAATAATGTATAAAGCATTGTGTCAAGCATTATTTTAATGGAATTTGGCACAGGGTGTCCCTGCTGACGCTTTTCCATCACAAGGCAACAGCATGAACATTACATGCAGTATGCACAACCCTTGAGTCAATCCATTGCAGGACGAGGGCCTCCCCACGGCGTGAAGATCGTGGGGAGTTTTTCACCATGCTGGTCAGTGTGCGATGGTGAAGGCAGAGAGCAGACTTTGGAACATAGCACAGTACAATGGATTTGACATGCACTGTCCTCTGCTAGCAACGTTGCCCCGGGGCAGCCTACACCACCTGCTGTAAGCATGGTGGTCACTCATCCAAACATGATCCAGGTTTAATTCTGCTCAGCTTCCGAGATCTGATCGGATCGGATGCAATCCAGATTATTTGGTCGTTGGCGACAACAGCCTGTATATTCATCCATATTAAACAATGGCGCCAGTGGAAAGATAGGCCGAGGCAAGGATAGCAGAGTTTAAGGCCCCACCTGAATCGATCTTGTAGGTATCCAGTAATCGTGTCACAAATTTGCTCAGAGATTTGGGATGCATACGCTCATGTTTCACCTGCTGCAGACCTGGGTACTGTCTGCAGAGAAAAAAAATTTCATTTCCACGTATGCTTGCATTGTGAATCATAACAGGACAGATATAATGTCAATGCACTCCAGTGGGCAATTATTTGGTCAACCATGTAAAAAGATGGAAAAGGTTAAACAAACACTCTAAGTACAGTACTCATTTTAGATCCTATAAACAATCTCGATAAAACCACGGCTCACGAAGAACTTGGCTCCCAGAATACCCAATTTGGGGCTATTTTGATGGCATTTTGTCAACACACGCTCTAAACCAGGCAAAACAAAATCAAACAAATCGTCGCTCGCCCGCCGGCTAATGACCGCTCTGCGCAAAGGCCCGGCGGCGAGGAAGCCACTCTGCGGGAACACACTGCCGCTGACGGGGCCTCAGGAAGTGCAGTTCCCACAACGCAACAGGATGGCAGGTCTCCCTCCGTCCAGGGGCGGTGGGGGCCGCCGCAATACTTTCCATCCCGTAATTTCCCAGCTGTCAGCCGCGCTTCCGCTGGCCCTTCCGAGGATGCCGGCTTCGCAAGGGGCGCAAACGCCGGTCGCGGTGACGAGACGCACGTGGCTTTGCTGCCCGGCCATTAAAAAAGACTTGCGCTTCCTCCCTCTTTCTCTCTCTCCAATTCACCTATGCCGCCCATTGGCAGTGAACTTGTGTGTTTTTTTCCCACGTTTCGGTTTGCCGTCTATTTAACACGCGCTGTCTGCTGCCAAGAGGCCATAACCATTTCCGCTGAATTCCGTAATCTGACAGGTATCATCTTAACGGGTTATTTAATGGTGGCAAAACATTAAACTGCGTTCTTGAGTGCGAAACGGTTAGAATATTTCAAGTGACAATTCTCCCAAGTAAATGAAAATGAATCGTCCGATGTGAAAAACGTGTTTTTGTTCCTTAAAAACAACGGTGCATCTGATTCGAGCCGTTAAACAAAAACCTCATGCTTTCATACAAGGGAAGCTGCTTCAATTTTTTGTCATATAAAACATGTATGGTTGGCAAGAGCAAAATATATGTTGTGCATTAGTTTGTGACTGGATTATAGTTTTACTGCCACAGCAAGGGGCATTCCTTACTCACAGAGTCACTCTGCACTATTGGCAACTACTCAGAAGGCCAAGACCATCTGTTGCTATATGCCAAAGTAGCCTCAAGCAATTCTTTCCATGTAACCTGTAGGGATCACGCATACCTGCAAGTCCCCTCGTCACATCATCACGTTATCATTATCACGCTATCATCATCCCATCTTGCCTCTACGCCCGAAACGCGGCTTGGGGGAGCCTCAAATATTCCTGCCCTCAACTGAACTCTGTAAGAAGACCTCGAGAAAGCTCATGGGTTGTAACATCAGCTAGCTTGTGTCTTTATCCATCGGCAAGTGCAGGATCGCCAGGCATTTCCTAGATTGCTTTCACTTGCAAAAGCACCTACTTGCCCTAGCGATTAGTAACTCATTTGTCAGAAGCGTTATAGCACATCAGCGGCATAACAGAGCATGAACCTTCCCCGTAATGAGGCCCCCTCTTTCAGTGCTATTTTTAGCCGCTCACATTTTTTGCGAACTATAAAGATCCCCGATGAGCACAGCAGAAAAGAATATCTCAATGTGTTAATTCACTGTGACCTCAGCCTGCTCTCGGCCATTTAAAATGCATCCAACTGTCCATGTGCCGAACACGTTTTGCCACTGGGATGTGTTTAGAAATAGCAATGACTGCACAGCATTTAAAACCGAGCTCGCAAGGATAAAGGAAACATTTTAAATGTAGTCATAATAAAGTAGTGTTGATGCCTGTCCATATTGTGAAGACTTCCAATTGCATTGTTTTTGCTCAGGCATTTTTGATTGAAAAAACTCAGCCACACAAGTGCCCATATTTTCAGGGCACTCGCTTACTCAGCCAAATATTCATCCATATATATTCAGAAAATAATAATCTACAGCCATTTGTTAATCCACTGCTGGAGAATAGCTTCCCTAACCTGTCGGTTATGGGGGTAGTTGGCGCATACTTCACTACACTGGACAGTGCGTGTTGGTGAAAGGGGGGCCAAGGGTTAGTTCAGACATCACTTGCCACTGAAGTGAGCTGTGGTTCGAAATTAAATTCATGTTACTACGTTCACAATAAAATAATAATCACAGCACAGTGCGTGTACCACTTCCCCACCGCTCCATGCCCAAATATTTACATTCGCGTGCATTAATAATTCACGATCATTGCAATTTATCACCAGGTAAAAGCGAACCGAAAAACAAACATCCCCCAAAAGTATGCAAGAGGGGCATCGCTCCCACACGTGTGGTGGCCAGACTCCTCATGCAGGCCCGGTGTGTCAGCAAGGTCTGTGCATCTTCTTGGTTCTTTCGGTAAAGTCACCTGAGGACGGCTGCTTGCGTTGTGGCCGAAACGTCGTGAGAATTATTTTAGGTTTTATTTTTATTATTTTATTATTTCCCTTCTACGTGACTTCACCGAAAGAACCAAGAAGATGAATCCCTGCAGTCACGAAAGCTTTAAATCGAAATTTAAGGTATGTGCACTTGGCATGCGTGACATACTGCAGCAGGGTCCCCAGGTTGAAGTCCGGATGGCACCAGGAATCGAGGAGTCGCACCAGCTCCTGCTGCAGCTCGGGCGAGTTGGACACGTAACCCTCAACCACACTCAGCTTGTCTTGGAGAAGCAGTGGCGTGCAGAGCTGAGGGGGGCAATGGTAAGGATGAGTGCCCTAAAACTTGATTGTAAAATCAATTATATGTACAGCCATTTTGTCAGTCCACTTCTGGATGAGGTCCTCGTGCGAGTCATGTGGGCTGTTTGACCATACTTCACCACGCTGGTCAGTGCGAGTTGGTGAAATGGGATGTCCAGGAGCAGATCAGATGTCACGCGCCACCGAAATTAGCCATGACCGGGAATACTACTTAAGTCACCGGGTTCATAGCACAGCACACTAACCATTATGCCTTCATTCCATCCCTCAAAATTAAATTTTATACCGTAGGGAAAATAATGTAAGTATTCATCTTCTTGGTTCTTTCGGTAAAGTCACGTAGAAGGGAAGTAATAAAATAATAAAAATAAAATATAATAAAATAATTCTCACGACGTTCCGACAGACCTGGTCTTTACCTGAGGACGGCTGCTTGCGTTGTGGCCGAAACATCGTGAGAATTATTTTATTATGTTTTATTTTTATTATTTTATTATTTCCCTTCTATGTGACTTTACCGAAAGAACCAAGAAGATGAATCCCTGCAGTCACGAAAGCTTTAAATCGAAATGTAAGTATTATAATTTCTTAAGGTCCGATTTATAAAATGCTGTGCATACATGTGTAAATGAGAAGTGCTGCAACATGGAATAGTCTTATGATTATAATATCATGCATGCATATGCAGATGTACTTTATGTCCTTAAAAAAATGTACTTTCTGAACAGTGATTCATATATGGATAAAAGAGTACAGAATGCTTTTCAAGTATTGTTGCAGATCAAATTGGCAAGGTGTATTAATGCAAAGTACATGCCTCTCTGAAGTTCAAGTACGGTTGCAAATGCATTTTCTTAGCCAAATGAGCGGCCTGTAAACAACAAAAAACAGTGTTTGATGATTAATATTTCTGAAAACAAAATGTATCACTTTTATATTTATTTACCTACTTAATAAATGAACGTGTACACATTGGCATTTCCGAAGGATTTTTTTTGCTTTGCGAGTAAAGTTTGTGAACCTATGAATTTTGGCAAATAAACCGGGCGCTTAGGCGGAAATCCTCAATCAAAACGGCACCGCTTCGGACGCTAAAGCTCACTGTAATCCGGTCGCTTGGTGCTCGGTGCGAGCGGTCAACAGTGATTCCCCGTGGACTTCAGGCAGGAAGACAAACATCCCCCTTCACAGCGCCCCGAGAAACTCAGCCGAGCCCCGCACACAGCCCGGCGGAAGACGAGACTTGCCAAGGGGAAGGGTTTGAGAGGAGCTGGTGTGTTACGGTGATGCGGGAAAACAAAATCTTATCTGTGGAGACGTGGCGATGTTTTTCAGAACTACCCCCTCGATCTAAAAAAGCGATGGCATTTTTGCGCGCGAGCGTCACCGATTTTGTACGCTGGAGGAGATTTGTATTTGCTGCCACAATTAGGACTAGCTACCTCATCAGCCGGACTTTCATTGCAATATTATGGGACTGGCTTCATGTATAATTGCACAGCTGAGAGCATGCTACCCTCAAATGGTTGAAATTGAAAATTACATCATGGTGCGAAAGAAGTTCAACATACATACATACATCATCATCATCATCAACCAAATCCATATGCATACCGTGTGCTACTGCAGTTGAACAGAGCAACATGGCAAAAAAGAACCACTCTCAAATACAAACCAATCCATCACATGCCCTGTGTCCCTGCATTGTGTCTGGTTACCAATAAGTGACTGATAAATGGTCGAGAGGCAGGACTTATCAGTTTAGGTCCTATCAGAGCTTTGTGCTCCGCTGTTGCTCAAGCTTTATTTTGGCAAAAGAATACAGGAGTGTGTGAGTCATGGCATCAGCTCGGGATAAAAAAAGCTATTTTGGCCTATGTCAAAGTCTGCTTAAATAGTAAAAGTTTGTCTCATTGTTAATCCGCCAGCTTGCTGGTGTCATTGTTATGTTTCCACACAAGTGCCCGTTTGTGAGCCCATCCATGCAGAACACAGCGACGCTGGCTGCTGCTGCTTTTACTGGAGAGTGGCAGAACAATTCATTTTTCTGCTCGGCTTGCATTTATAAGCAGTCATTTACAAAAGCGACGTGCAGTGCATATGTAATGCGTGTGATAAACGAAGGTATGTTTAACCGTAGGTCTGACATCACTTATTGTGCATGGGAAGACCAAATATTCTCAATTGTACAAACAACCAAATGGAGTTGAAGCGCTGCAGAATTTGTATCTATTAAGGCTTGCTCGTTCGTGAATAAAATTGAGCATTTTATTTTTGTCACGTCTTATTATGCAAGCAATACAAAACCTATTTTAACAAGTTGTATCACAATTAACGTGCCACACCTGTGCTACGCCCGGAAGCTGAGGGCCATTACAGGTGTGTGGGGGGGGCACAAACTAGGACAGTCCGTGCCAGTGTGATTTTGGCAAGAAACACAAGAAAACGAATGCATACACCAACAGGCAAAGGGCGTTCACGTGTACAAGCATGTACTTACCCTAGCAAGTACTTGTGGACAAGCATATACAAAAAACCAGCACAACTGCCCTACAAATACTCATCACCGTCATCATCAGCCAGCCACTGCTGGATGAATTACTGTGTACATTGTCACCACCCCTCAAGGTCCTGCGATGCCACAGACCATCTCGCTCTTGCGCACGAGCTGATCTCATCGCTCCATCTCAATCTAGCAATATATCCTGCCCAAACCCACATGTGTTTTCTTTAGAGTCAATGTCTCCGATTTATGGTCGTTGTCCGATCCAAGTGCTCTTCTTGCAGACTGTCAGTGTAATTTAGGGCATGTAACTCTCGGTCATTCTTTTTGCACTCTTTTAAGCTTTTTTTCCCTTTTTTGTTTGTTTGTCATAATTCGTATTTCTGATCCACAACACAACTGGCTTCATACCACCGATCGAAGCTTTCTTCCGGAGGCACTTTTGGGGCACGCCAAGAGGAAATATTATTCACCTCTGAATTCCTCAGTTTAAAACCTTCCAGGTTCCCAATGCACTGTTTAGTGAACTTAATTGTGACATCAATACAGTTACAAAACACAGCTCTTAATCACTGGCAGTGTACAAAGAGACATGGACTTCCTCAGGACAGCTTCCTTCATTGCTTCCCCATCCTCTTCCGGCAACGGCTATAAGAGTACGTCAGTGGGCTGGGAACCAGCCCTTGTATTCGAGTCCCTGTGATACGGACGATGATCAATAGGCACTGCGATAGAAAGCGCTCCCAGGGAGGAGTCATGCTACCCTCTAGTGGAGAACTTGAATATTTCTTCACGCTCAAGCGTTGGGTTTTGACAGTTGGGATGTACAGAAATTTCCGATGTGTTTTCAGGTCGTAACAACGATGTTTTTGGGCCTGATGTCCGACGTTTCACTTCACGTGCCGGGAGCTTATATCGAAACGTCAGACGTCATTCCCTTAAACGTGTGGTACAACCTGGAAACCAACGGAGAGCTGTTTCTTCACACAGTTGGAGAAACACTCGCGTGAAAAATCAACTACAATTACAAAGAACGACTGCTTACATCGATCATATTTTTTACATCAACCGCCGCCAATATCATTCATTGTATATTTACTAAATGGTTACAAGTAAATGAAATAACTCAATTAAGGAATGAGGCTGCAATCATTCTCCTGTTTAAAAATGCAAAAAAACTGATATGAAGCATTATATATCAATTACCCTCCCATTAATAAAATAACAATAAACAGCCCTTCGTCAATTCATTGCTTCCCCAAACCGTGTTGGTCAAAGTGGATGTTTCACCAGATTGCACTTCGAGCATCAGTAGAGGTTGAAGAAGAGAGCATTCCCAAGATATCACTCGCCCACCAATGTTAACAGTCGCCGGGAATTGAACTCAGGTGGCCGGTCCACAGAGCAGTGAGGCCATCCAACCGTGTGAGCAAGCTGGATTTAGTAGTTTATTTTCTATTACCATTGACCACATACATACATAGAAGATACAAATAATATAAAAAACAATTGTGCCTGACTATTATTGACTTTGAATCAGTGTAAACTAAAACAGTCATCCAGGCTGTCACAACGGCCTTAATATTTTTTACAATTGAAATAAATAATTAACCAATGTTGTATGTACACTGTATATTATGACAGTCGTGTTCCTATGTAGAAAGACTTTACCCCCACCATAGCAGGAATGTGCCATTTCCACCAATGTTTGTGCGAATGGGAAATTATTATAATTTATCTTATCACGAAATCACCCTCATTGTGCCCGAATGCTTAGCCTCTGAGAACTTAATAACAGAGTTAAGTCTGGTTAGTACTTGGAATGAAGATGTTCAGGGAATACTATCAGATATTGTAGGCTTTTCCTGCAAGGTGGCCGAGATAATTGTACTAAGTGCTCATCGTATGTGGTGATCAAGTGAATGTCTAACAAGTGCCCTTTAAAAGGTTCAGAGGTTATAACGGAGCACAGATATGTCAAAGAGAAAATAATTATCACCATGCCCTTTATTTACAACAATAAAGCCTCAACGAACCGAAAAACAAATTTTTTATGGGGGTCCTGCTACAATGGGACATTGAATAGTCTGGAATAACCTCGCAATGGTTTTGTAGTCAAACACGATTAAGTAATTTACGGGTAATTGTTTTGCAAGTTTGAAATTTGACGCGGGTATGCGTGCCCTACTCCTTTTTTGATGTCGAAGGATCTTTAACATCCACATTGTAAATTGAAAACTCATTTCTTTATAACTGATTTTTGTGTTTTGTTTGTTGTCCTTCCCCCATACCTCCTATTAGCACAGTTGGCTACATACAGTGCGAAATAAGTTCAACATATGTACATACTTTCCCATATTTAAAAAACACTTTTCTGCATCGATGCAATTAAGAGTCAACCGAGACACAGGCTGTGTAAACAAGAACACAAGGATATCTTATGGAAAACGCACTCGTCAAAGGTAATTGCAAGCGTAATCATGAACAGTCCAGCACAACCCTTGCTCAGCACAACTCTCCTGCTGTAAACCTAGGTTCATCAACTATTAGTTTCGGTCATAACTATAACCCCTTTCCTACCCACAACACTGAAATCAAATGTCACAGTTTTTTTTATATCCATTCCGTTCCCAATTCAATTCAACACGGGTTCATTCTACATCCAGCAGTTGATTTATCACAGATGATCATGATAATGACCCCTGGTCAACACACACGTCTCTAATATCCATATATTCACAAGTGCCACCCTTTATCCCAGTTCTAAAGTATGTTCAATCTAGATCAGAATGTAATTTGAGCATGTAATGTTTACGAATACCACTTTGTCGTGAATTCAGCAGTGGTTGTCCAATGGATTGACGTATAGGCATATATCCATAGGAATGTGGAATTTCGACCACTGGCTCAGGGCTTTCAACAGGAGATGACCACCACCATCCAGGGTCATTTGAGCAATACATCACTTTTTTAAAGCTTCTTCTTTCGTATGGCTGATGTAGATGCAGCGCAACAGTTATACTGGTAGGAACCTCCTGGTTACACCAGCCCACAGGGGATTATTGTGTCCGTCCGTCCGTCGTGCAGGGAGGGTGGGGAGGGGCTGGGTGGGGAGGGAGGGGCTGGTCACCCCGTGGTGCCCTTATAAAACTCAACGTTTAACCAACTCCCGCCGGCTTGTGCCCGCCCTCACAGTCGGGCATATTTGCGGAATACACCACGCCGCCGTTGACCCTGGCCATTGACCGAGCAACCCAACGTTCCTACCAGCTCCCTCCGCAGAAATATGTTAATTTCACATTCAGGTGGTCAAGCCAGATAGCCGCGTCGGGAGCAGCGTAGTGCATCGTTTTGAAAGCTAATTGGCATTGGCATTGTAGATAGGTCTTGTGGGGAGACCCGAAATATAACCATTATTCATATTTAGAGACTCTCCCAGTACGAGTAATCGCTTTGGACAACAGAGCCATCCCCAATCAATGTCTCATTGCTGACATAACCATTGAAGCCCCTGAATTAGATCTTCCTCAAAAAACACCCATGGCAAGATGCGGCCACTACCTATTTAAGCGGACAATAAGAGCGAGACCTGCAGCATGCGACTTCTTACCAGACCGTGGACCACATTATGAAGCACTGCGAATGTTGAAATATCAGCAGTTGCATTGAAGACATCTATTCAGCTTCCCGAGAGGCTGTCCTTTGGTTATCTGATTTGTTAGTTGCGATACAAAGCTATACGCAAGAAGTGCTGGTTATGACCGATCATGAGTGTGGCCGATGACACCCCACCACGCCTCACCTCTTGATACCTGTCTTTCTTCTGAAGACCCTTCACTGCGCTGATGAGATGCTGGCGATCGGCAGTCTCCAGCTGATACATATGAATGAACGGGTCCATGGTAGAGCCCTGGCTGGATGAAAGCAGTCGGATCGCCCTTGCCTGCAGTTCCCAGTCACATGGCAGCGCCTGGAAGAGTTGTGCAGGTAGCCAGTCAACCAAGGGCACTGTGCACTAAACAAGTGCATTGTTGAGGTTGTGCCACTGCTAACAAGCGGTGTGCGTGGAGATTGGTTTCTCGACAATCAAGCGGCAGCATCTGAACTTCACAAAAATAAATTTACAATTGCACAATTTTCAAAACCTTTTCCACCAATCCATCTCGATTTTAAATAGGAAAACTGGCTAAGAAAATGGAACAAAAGCTGAAAAGTGAGGAATGAAGCATAGAGAGGTGCATGCTTGTAAATGAGAAACAGAACATTTTAAACACATGGATAATATAACATATGGAAGTTGAAGACATCATATTTAATGTTAATAAAAAATGGTTTTGGGCAGGACACATTTCTAGAAATTTGGCCAGTGGTCGAGACTATTGGTAGGAATGGCAGGCAAAGGAGGGAACCAAAGATATAGAGTAATGTAATCAGCTGAAATGCAGGAGCTAGATGGACCATGACAGAAGGTGCCTTCATCCAGCAGTGGACAGATCATGGCTGATGTGCCCATTCATCATTCAGGTTTTTATAGCCATCGATACAAAATGAACAGTCGAGGTCAGGTGTCGTACCTTCCCTTGGGAAGGGTGGCTGGCCACCCAGTTGGAAAACTCCGTTATGATGTGGTGAGCAAGGTGAGCTCTGCCCCTCCTCCAATCACTGCGCACCTCCAAGATGTCTACCAGCATTCTGCGAGGATCGACCGCGGTTTCCAGGCGAGCCTGGCATGCCGCCAAGATCTTTTGCCAACGAAAAAGGCAATGTAAAAAAAAAAATCACATTTTACTCAATTGTCCTTGCCTTGAGTGAATATGGAACCGTTAATTGAATTCAATAAAATTGATCATTGTTTTTTTACCCTTCTATCTGGCAACAAAACTGACACCTTTTTTTTACAAGGAGTCATGTTTGCATAGACCACAATACCTGCAGCCATAATGCAAACAAAAAACACAATTCTGATAATATAGGCACTGTCCTTGAAGTTGATTAGTCCACACCCGAGACAGCTTTCCTTAGAGCCTAGTTTCACATGGGTTGGACCAGATGACACCAAAAGGCGCAGAACTCAAAGACACCATCAGATAATAATAAAATTCAATAAAATTGTTGCAATTTTTAAATTACGAATTTTTTGTATCGTACGCATTTATTATGCGTACACGTATAGCCCTCTCGTCAATCCATTGCTGGATGAGGAGCTCTCCACACTCTATCGGTCATGGTGGTTTGACCATACTTCATCATGCTGGTCACAGCAGGTTTCGTGAAGGTGTATTTTGATGCACTTCTCTCTGCTGGCAAGGTGTATTATAGTTCGAGATGAATCGAGGAAAATTAACCCCTGTTCCCTATAGCCACACAATGGTGACATGTTTTAGTCTACTGGCCTTCTAGACTTATGTTAAATCAAAAGCTTTGACATCCATACGATCGAAACAGGTAATTTTTATTTATTTATTTAAAGCTTTCGTGACTGCAGGGATTCATATTCTTGATTCTTTCGGTAAAGTCACGTAGAAGGGAAATAATAAAATAATAAAAATATAAAACTATAAAAATTCTCACGACGTTTTGACTGCAAACAGGCAATCATCATCAGGTGTGAAATCCACACAGCAATAATTTTTTCTTGCTGTGTGACTTTACCGAAAGAACCAAGAAAATAGGTAAAAAGTGTGTTTACTTTAACAAATGCTGCTGGTTAACACGAGTATAGAAGGCCAAAAGGCCCAAAGACTAACACTATTAAAAATGTTTATCTAGATACAAAATGTAGGTCTGGTTACTTATTTTATTACACAGAAAGCTACAAAATAATATCACATTGAGTTACAGTATTAAACAAGTACATCTAATATTACTGTAAGGCAGATTGGTGGCTTTCATATTTATCACTTCACTCAGTAACATCTGATCACATTAATAGTAATATTTATTTGGAATTATTATTGATACATGTTTGGTTTATTAAGCCTTTAATGAATCATCTCACCTGTTTCGGCTGCTTTTTATTCCAAAGTTCCTCCAAGTTGCGTACAAATCCGTCCTCCATCATGATAAATTGTCCCTTTTCTCAAACTATCACTGAAAGACGATGGTAAAAGTTTGCAAAAATTACACCTCTTCTCAAATCTATTCCTGCATTTTAACAACAAAAAAGACAGTGACACGTGACATTTATTCAGCTGCAACCTTATTATCCTTAGGGCATTGGCTATTTCTGTAAGATTCTCAAAGAAGGAGTAAGCTGTGTAAGAGAGCTTACAAAACCAGTAATCATCAGTTTCAAAAAGAGAACAGTATAGTATTAGCACGTGTGTAAAATATAAGTATTCAAAGTTATGCTAAAATGTCATAAAGTGATTTTTTTTTAAACACACACGTAAAATAAATATTGTACATGGGAGTACATGGACACCGATGTTTCCTATATACACACAATAGCGTAAAAAACACGTTTTGGTCGCGAAAGCCTACGTGTAAAACAAAACGTTTTGGTTTGTTGGCTTTCCAAAATGAAGTTAACCGAGACAGCGCTGACGTCCAAAATGCTGACGCTGGTTAAGAAGTTTGTTTCCTTGATACAACATTTATTTAACAACTGCCAATGCAGAAACACCAAATAATGTTAGCCAAAAACTTGACAGTCACTCAAGAAAGTCACCATTACTCTACCCCTTTCTTTCCCCTGTATGTGAATGAAATGTGCTTCACGGCTTGCAAAGCAACATTTTTAATGTCCTTTTAAAACAATTAATGTTGCCCTTCAGGATGGAATTTCAAGGTGTGGTTGGAAACATTTTAATAACGCAACCCAAAACTCAAATCATGTCGTTTATGGTGTGCCTCGCTCTGCCAGCCTTCTGCCGGGCACATTTGTGAAACTTCTTTCATGGAGGAAAAAAATGCTTTAAAGCCAAGGTTAAGTGTGTCATTATTACATGCTGGTTCCATCACTCCAATATATGTCAAAGTTATTAATAAAGTAACACCACTCGAGTCCTATGATGGAGCATCTTGTCCCCTGATTTTGATTTCTAGAATTTCAAGTCTAGCCCATGTGGTTCTCTCTTCCATCATCTGAGAATTTAAAGTCTAGCCCATGTGGTTCTATCTCTTACATCATCTGAAAATTTCACGTCCAGCCCATGTGGTTCTCTCTTCCATCATCTGAGAATTTCACGTCCAGCCCATGTGGTTCTATCTCTTACATCATCTGAGAATTTCACGTCCAGCCCATGTGGTTCTATCTCTTACATCATCTGAGAATTTCACGTCTAGCCCATGTGGTTCTATCTCTTACATCATCTGAGAATTTCACGTCTAGCCCATGTGGTTCTATCTCTTACATCATCTGAGAATTTCACGTCTAGCCCATGTGGTTCTATCTCTTACATCATCTGAGAATTTCACGTCTAGCCCATGTGGTTCTATCTCTTACATCTGAGAATTTCACGTCCAGCCCATGTGGTTCTATCTCTTACATCATCTGAGAATTTAAAGTCTAGCCCATGTGGTTCTCTCTCTGCCATCATCTGAGAATTTCACGTCCAGTCCATGTGGTTCTATCTCTTCCATCATCTGAAAATTTCAAGTCTAGCCCATGTGGTTCTCTCTCTTACATCATCTGAGAATTTCAAGTCTAGCCCATGTGGTTCTCTCTCTTACATCTGAGAATTTCAAGTCTAGCCCATGTGATTCTTTCTCTTCCATCATCTGATAATTTCAAGTCTATCCCATGTGGTTCTTCTCTCTTACATCATCTGAGAATTTCAAGTCCAGCCCATGTGGTTTTTTCTCTTTCATCATCTGAGGCATGTACATGTGTGTATACAGACAGCCCTGGTGCAAATCCACTGCTGGATGAGCCCCCCCCCCCCCACCTCACCACACCTGGCAAGTCGTGGGAGGTTCATTGGCGATACTTCACCACGCTGGTCATCCCGGTGTGGGATGGCGGGGAGCATAGACCCCGGACTCATAGTTCAGTACAACATTGGGATTTTTTTAGGCACCGTCCCCCCCTCTGATTATCATCACAAATATCGAGATGAGGTCAAATGTGACGGTGGGAAAAAGTAATACAGCACTGCGAACTAAAGCAGCATCTGATATTGTAAATGGCATAACGTTTCTACGGTGCATGTTGTTAATCACTGCGCCTTATATACTAAAACAGTACAGTCTCATTACCAACCATTATCTATCCAGACGAAGGCCTCCCCCAATCACTGCAAATACTTCAAAAATATATTGTGTGCACACACACCGGTGTGTTAAACGTACAAGCGGCATATCACCACCCTGCGTACACTGTAACAGTATTTATTTAAAATAGTTTTTGTTACATTATAGCACGGTTATCGTCGTGCACACCCGAGTAGTTACTGTATGCGACGTACAGTACAGCATACAAAGACAAAGATCCACCGTGTAGCCTTCAACAGGCTGTAGGGGCAAGTGCTGTTGGCGAGCAGCAGCTGTGAAGACTACCGGCACACGAGGGAAGGAGGCCGTCTTTGTCTCTCCTCCACCCCCCTAGTTAGTGATGTTTCACACACCACTGCACCAGGTAATCATTTGAGGCCGAGTCAACCTAGGGGGTGTTGGTGCGGGACCCACAGGATACTGGTTTCTTGATGGTGGTGATGATGATGATGGTGGTGATGATGATGATGGTGGTGATGGTGGTGGTCGTGATGATGATGGTGGTGATGAGGGTGGTGATGATGATGGTGGTGATGGTGGTGGTGAAGATGGTGGTGATGGTGATGATGACGGTGGTGGTGATGATGGTGATGGTGACGATGGTGGCGATGGTGGTAGTGGTGATGGTGGTGGTGATGATGGTGGTAGTGGTGATGATGGTGATGATGATGGTGTGGTGATGATGGTGGTGATGGTGACGATGGTGGCAGTGGTGATGGTGGTAGTGGTGATGGCGATGATGATGGCGATGATGATGGCGATGATGATGAAAATGATGTTGGTGGTAGTGGTGATGATAGTGATAATGATGATGATGTGGCGAATCACAAGTGACGAACTACATCACCAAAGCGGTCTCCACCAAACCCGCGCCAGCGACCGGCGCGGTGAAGTATGGCTCTTCGACGAACCACAGCCGCCGTGGCTCAGAGTGACGAGGGCAGGGGAGAAGGACGAGGCCTTCATCCAGCAGTGGATTAACAACCCGTCGCATTTACCACCCAACCAGACCTAAACAATCCGGAGCCATACAAGAGTCACAGAGCCGGCTTCGAACTCACCTCTCATCTCATCCTCCAGCCGCTTCCACCACCAGCACCACCACCAGCACCACCACCCCCCAAACAAAACAGTCCACCACTCGTCCTGAAGGTCCACCTCCAACCACCAGAGCAGTCCACACACAACCTCCCACACTCGAGTCTCTCAAAGCCGCTCAATTTAATGGATTTCTTTAATTGGTAACCACGTGCGGATGTCGATTGGCTGCTGGTGGTGGCGTCGCCCCGCTTGTTTCCGGCTACGCAATATCCGCGTGGCTTGACAATGTGCCTTGTTGGGGGTGCTGAGCGCCTAGGGGTTGAATTGTTTTAGGGGTAAATATCTAATTGCGATTTGTTTCCGGGCAGATATGGCGATTTGCGATAAATGTAAAAAAAAAAAATTAAGCTCCGTTTAAATATTTGAAACATGTGCTGGGGCATTGGCACATGATGTCATCAAAATATGAACTGCTCTATAGATTATCATTATCATGCAAGGATGAGAACTTAAAAGGTATGAATTGCTTCCAACATATATTTATAAAAACAATTTGAAGTAGAACAATCAAACATAGAACAATTGTTAAGTTAAATAAATAAAGTTATAATAATGAAATAAAACTTCCAATAATAAATTAATAGGACTTTTCAAATCGCAAAAACTCGCAGCCTTTGCGATTTGCTCAGGGGCCGTCCATGAATGACGTCACGCACCTGGGGGGGGGGGGGGTCAGACATGTGTGACGATGTGTGACGAGGAGGGGGGGGGGGTGAAAATGTGACGTCACATCAAAATGCACAACTTTAAATAAATATAGACAAGACGTTCTACTTAACTAAATATTATTTTTCATAAATGTTTTCTCCTACAACATCAGAGTGCAGCGCCACATTAAATACGCACTACAATGACAATAGTTTAAAGCGATTTGAAGCATGTTTTATTTTTGGGGGGGGGCAGAGCTTTGACTTTTTGTGACGCCGTGTGACGAGGGGGGGGGGGTAAAAAATCGTCAAAAAATTGCGTAACGTCATTTATGGACGGCCCCTTATTAAAATGGCTTAATTGAAATAGAACAATCAAACATAGAACAATTGTAAATTTAAATGAGTTATAATCATAAACAATAAAACAATTCCAATGAGAAAGTAATAGGACTTTTCAAATCGCAAAAAAATCGCAGACTTTGCAGTTTACTAATCACATGGTTTTAAATTGCAATTTCGATTTGAAATCGATTATCATGGGACCTCCTTTGCCAGTACCAAAATATGAGAATAATTTTTCCCCTTTTTTCTGGCAACAAAACAGGTGTTAAGATGTTAAAACACCAAACTGAAACCTTTTACAAGGAATCATGGCTGCATTAACCACAATATTTGTGGTCAGAATGCAAAAAAAAAACATTCTGATAATTATCTATGCATTGTCTTTGAAACTGATTGGTCCACACCAGAGACAGCTTTCTTTCGAGGCGTGTCTTAAACGGTGTTAAACCAGAGGACGTTTGAGACTGGGGTTACACCAACAATCACGCCCAAGTGGGGGTGTTTACTACACACTGCACCAGGTAGTCATTTTTAGGCTGAGTCGACCTAGGGGAGGGCCCAGGACCGGGTGGCCGTGAGCGGGAATCGATCTCGGGTGGTTGGGTTCGTAGCGTAGCACGCTAACCACTACCCCACCCCCCAATCTCACAACTCCCAACACCACCACCACTACCAACCAAACAAGGACATTGAGAATTCAAGTTTGTGGCCATGAGATTGAGGTTGGATGGTTGTTTTTGTGGATAGTTCCGTTGATGGCCCAGCAGATGGCGATGGTCGACTTAGTAAGTCTGGAAGTGCTGCTGCTTTTGTCACGTGACCTTTTTGACAGTCTCAAAGTATGAGAAATAATTCGAATAGCGTTCACCCTTTCCAGCAATACATTGAATTCCTTGCAAAATGTATCTATTTAGTGTTTGAACAAGCAAGTGCTGCTGTTGCATTTCCATGGGACAGAGAAGAGTTCAGTAACTGTGGGTGTAAGAAAAAAGGCTGCAGTAGTTGTAGTAGTCATAGGAATAGTATAATTATTTTTATACGGGCAATGTATGTGAATTGGACATCTGTGAAAAATATTTTTTATCGCTAATCGAATTCCTCCATTCTAAATACGTATTATGATTCTGATCATTGCTATCAGCTCTCAAAGGGGAAAATGTGGCCTCTCAGTTGTTCAACTTTCCTTTTTACCTCGCTGATTCCATCCACTCTATATTCGTCCAAATATAATTGGTTCTATCGCTTGATCGTGAAAGATGGTGACGGATTGGAGAGGCCCACATCCAGCAGTTTTTTTTTCATCATGGATGATGACGATATGTGAAATAAAGTCACTGCCATTCCAAATATAGTATGCATTTATCTCCTTGTGCTGCCATTTCATCACGAGTCTTGTCCATCAGTCAAGTTTCCGTTTTAGCCATGTATTCATTCCAAGATCACTCACTTTTCTTCATACTGTACGCTTGTCACAAGTATTTTTTAGTTAAAGATGTAAATTTGTTGTTATTATTTTAATCAGATAACACTGGCATGCATTGGAGTTGCAAATACTACTCTGCATACAGTACTTAAACTGAATTCTACCACTAGGTGGAACTAGAGGTTAAGAGAAATATGAAATTTTCTTCTAATGGATTTTAGGATGTGTCATAATGTGACCACTAGGGAGCGTAAGTTTTCGCTTCCAATTATATTTCAGTTGAAAGTATCGAGGCGCCCACGTCATGAGACAAATTAACTTCCATTCGGAAACTCTTTCAGAAAGCTCTAATTGAGAATGGTGTCTGGGGGGCGATATCTCAACGCTGATTCCGAGATATCTTTAGTCGTTTCCTGTACACTAAATGCGGTACACTTTCTCACGTGGCCTTTTCTAGAAATGTTTGTGGCATTCGCAATTAAATCGAACATCTGTAATCCTCAAGAGCTATAACTTTACAGAGTTATGTAAAACCAAATTAAATATCTTGTTTATTGTGCAGGCATTGGTGACCATGCTTGCATTTGAGAATTCAGGGTAATCGTGGGTGGTTGTCTTGAGTTCAAACCGATTTTCTCAGCAGTGTCAGCTGAGAGTTCTGGACACAGCATTAACCATCTGAATCAGTGTTCTTCGCTAATTTTCAGAGCGGGGCCACTTTCGCCGAAAAGACATAAGTGTGAGGGCCACCACACATTTGAAACCATTGGGGGTTTTACAGAAGCACAATGATGATGATGGGGTGTTGTCACGTGTTCTAATTACTGGTGAAACGTCGTACTCAGAAGGTAAACGTTGTGGATTTGCTCTCCAACACACCGGTGTGCTGTACTAGTAACGAATTGGCATGTTCTGTTTATGTAACAAACCTTACTCATTGGCTGTGTTGGGTGGTGGTGGGTTTAATGAGACATTGATAATTACGTGATCTAACCTAAAAAAAACCAACATTATAGGCAGATACTTAAATTAGGGTCATCCTTAAACACTCCAAGTTAGAGACATATTGACTGTTAAAAGCAAGTAACTGGGCTTGGGCAGGACACAAGGCACTAGAGGGGATGATGGCTGGTGATCGAAACTAGCTATCGAATGGCAGCCAATAGAGGGCATGCCAAATTAGGACATGCAGAAGATGGACAAATGAAATCGTGTAATTTCCAGGTTCTGAATAGAATATTTCAACGCAGGATGATAAGGTGATTGCATTGACAGACCTTCATTTAGCAGTGATTAATCATGGTGACAGATTATACAACTGCATGCCAGGTTTTTTGCTAAACAGTGAACGTTTTTTTTGTCAACAAAAATCTTGTTTTATAAAAAAAAATTGTGCCCATTATCACTTGACTATAAACAGCAAACGCCATGTAGATTATCAAATTGCAGTGGGAGTTTGAGAAGAAATGGAAGAACAGTTTGTCATGGACATGTCTTCGTTTGTTTTACGCTTCTCCGTTTACAGACCAGACAGATGCTTCCGGACCAAACTGAACGTGCAAGGGGAAAAAAGACAAAGTTGCCAAACCATTTTTAGCCAGCAGAAAGCGGATGCCTAACCCATTGTCCTTTTACTTTTCCTTCACAAAAAAGTTCGAGCTGCGAAATTCATGTTGAAATGGGAAGCTGCCGATTCCCTACGGTGTGATCGTTGCTTGCTTGCAATGAGAACACTACGATCCAGTCTTCTTTCGGGTCACAGGCCAGAGAGGCCCCGCTGTGGTAAAATTGGCTTTTGGAAGTGCCTCTTGGTTCACATTTGTGCTCATACTGGGAGGTTGATGAGTCTACATCCAGTGGCATTTTGACCACAACAGGGGCACGACAGCATGTATGTTGAACTTCTTTTGCACCGTGCGTAGCCAACCTGCTAATTGGAGGTGGATCAATGGAACATAAATAATCGCCCACAGTGCGACTCTGGTGACCAATATCAAACTGTGGACTACATAGTGATGCCACTACCTGGTTCGATCAATTGCCGGGAGTGTTAAAAAGATCGCATTCATCTGGATACTTTTATTCATTAATATATTTTACCTGGATAATCCGTTGAGATTGAATATTTCATGAACAATGGGGCCCAGGTTGTCAATTGACATTTACATAGCAATCACTAATGACATAATACAGACAGTTTAAATGTATAATTTCTACTGTTTTACATAGATTTACTGCTGAATCCATTCACTGGCTCACTAACCTCCATCTGTCAAAATACATGTTTCTGATCAACTCTTCAACACATTAAAGTGCTCCCCTAACGCACACACTCCCTACGACACATATTTCATGCATGGTGGTTAACCATACAGGCCTTATCCCGAGTCAATCCCGCTAAGCTGATGGGATAGAAAAAATTCCAGGTGATTTGGTCACCTGAAGACGATGTACAGGAACAATGAGTAATATTTATTGGACAGAAAGTGATTGCCTCATAGAGAAAAAACCGAGGACTTGAGCCTGGACTTGAACTTAGGCTGTGAGTGGAC